AAGGGCGATTCTTGCACCAAAAAATTAAGCGAATTATTAATTATTAAGCGAAGTAGCAAGAGAAATAACAGAGTATTTGTCAGTAGACACAGTTATGGACACAGAACAGAGCACTTCATGTCCCGCAGAGTTTCTAAATTCTGTAGAGTTGTCAGGTGTGCCCTCACATAAGCTTCAATTAAAATTAAGCGTCCCAGTCATGCTAATGCGAAATTTAGATGCTCCTCGGTTATGTAACGGGACAAGGCTGCGTGTGACACATCTAGGACATAACATAAGGCATATAATCGATGCTACAATTTTGACAGGCGTAGGAAATGGTGAAAATGTTATTATACCACGGATCCCTATAATTCCCACAGATCTTGCTTTTCAATTCAAAGGGTTGCAGTTCCCTATTAAGCTCAGTTTTGCAATAACAATTAATAAAGTGCAAGGGCACACGTTACAAATAGCGGGGGTCAACTTAGAAAAACCGTGCTTCTCTCATGGTCAGCTGTATGTAGCATGTTCGCGTGTGTCAAATGCCCAGAATCTCCACATTCTTTCCCCGAATGGAAAAACATATAACATTGTGTACAGTAGCGTTTTAAAATAGTGTTCAGTTAGTTTTTTTTTCCGAAATTCCCACAATCAATTAATCAGAATTCCCACAGATCTTCCCTTTCAATTCAAAATTTCCTATTTAGCTCAGTTTCTTTTTAATTCCAAATGCTGCACCTCTGACGGACCTATTAAGACATAAAGACTTAAGACATTTATTCCGACACTTCAGATTACAATCACAAATTAATAAACAAAATTAAGACGAATAAGAATAAAATAAAAGAAATAGAAACACAAGAAAATTAATAAACAAAAAAAAAATAGAGGATATAACAACAATTCATGACTTAATAATCGAAACAGATGAAGTGGCGGAAGGGACCGCCTCAGCATAAGCCGCGGGATAGCGACGCTGATTTTCAGTCGGCCCCATACGGTCCTACGGAGACCGTGCCGTAAGTGTTGACATATGATAATAACAACTGATGAATGTTAATAACAAAATGGAAAATACGTATTGTATAGTTGTGCTGAGCGTAAGTTGCTGAACGCTACGTGCGACGTGACGGGAACATTAGTAAGTGTAATCATTTAATTTAACAGTGTATATTATAAAATTATAATCATATATATCTATATACGTACACATACATACATACATACACATACATAGATATGTATGTTTAATAGGCTTTTTGTAATAAATAATAATATGTAATAGCATAATAAATAATATGTAAACGGAATATCAGTAGCTAACGTCTAACCTCTTTAACAATACTCCTATTTATTAACTATGTCCTTCTGTTCGTTTATTAGGAGATATTTTAAGTGCTTTCTAAACGTGGCTAATGTGTTTAGGTCATGCAGTGGAGGAGGTAAATTATTCCAGTAATGGGAGGCTGCATACTTATAACAACCTCAAAAGGCTGAAGAAGAATGTCGCGGAATACTGAGCCTATTATAGGATGAAGCGCGGGTGAGATACTTGCTATGCTCGTGAGACCAGTCTAACTTACTAAAAAGATACTTTGGGTTTTTTGTCTTTATGACGCCAAAAAGTGCACAAGATAAGTGAAGTTTGCGTCTGGCAGCCATTTTAAGGATATTATTGTCGTCAAGAAATGGGCTTACGTGACCTCTTGGCGGTTTATCGAAGCAAAACCTCGCACAAGCATTTTGGACCCGTTGAATAAGGTGTGCGGTACGTGACAGTAAACAAGGCCCATAAACCGTATCAGCATAATAAAATTTTGATAGTACTAGGGTGTCCGTTTCGTAATTCTATACTTAAGTGTTCACGCATTCTGTACAGGATTTTTAACCTATAAAAACAGTTCTTAACAATGTTATTGATATAATCTTAAAATCTGAGATCGGGGCTAATTATGATTCCTAAATTACATGCTATATCGACTCTTTCTAATACCGTGCCTTTTATATACAGTGTTGGGACAAATTTATTTATTTTTTGAATCTGTTGTTTCGTTCCGCAAATTAAAAACTTTGTCTTTGATGAATTCAACACTAAACAGTTTCTTTCTGACCACCTTACTACTTTATCCAAATCCTCGTTGAGTTCATTAATAGCTTCTGTAGTATGACTAGGCTTAAAAGGCTTATAAATCTGTGTGTCATCTGCAAATAAGTGATATTTATAATATTGGAAACAGTTACTAATGTCTGATATATATAACGCGAAAAGTACGGGACCCAAAATCGATCCTTGAGGAACACCACGCGTGATCCGCTGCGGAGAAGATACACAGTTTTGACCATTTAATTGAATTGTAATTTACTGTGAACGTCCACTAAGGTAACTGTGAAACCATTTTATAGTCCTGGGGTCAAATCCGTAAAACGACATTTTGGACAAAAGTAAAGACGTATTTATGATATCAAAAGCCCTAGAATAATCTAATAGGACGAGTATAGTCCCCTGACCTGTATCTTGGGCCTCCAATATATTACCTACTACGTCAGATAGGGCAGTAGGAGAACTTCGTCCCTTTCTGAAACCCGATTGAAGATCAGGCAGTATAGCATTATTTTCTAGATATGAAATTAATTGTTGATAAACAACTTTTTATAATATCTTAGATATACAGGGTAGCAAACTTATGGGCCGTAAGTCTGTCACGGTAGCAGGATTGGCATTTTTTGGAAGAGGACGTATTAAGGCTAGTTTCCAGATGTCAGGGAATGTACTTGTAGTTATCGGTAGGTCAATCAAAGCGGTAATAGTTTCAAGACTTTGTGGGAGGGTCATTAATAACATATCTAGGTTAATACCATCAACTCCCCGTGAATTAGATTTTAGTTTTTTAATTATATTCAAAGTAATATCTTGAGATACCGGTTTCAACAAAAAAGTTTTAGATGTAAATCTATTAAATTCAAAATATGTAAGATCTGACGTAGTTACGTTATAGGAACCTGGTATATTTGAAAAATGTGAATTAATAGTATCAGAATCCAATAAATGTGGTAGGCCGTATTCGTTTTTCGGTGGTAACGAGTACGCCTTCAGATTTGACCATAGCTTCTTTGGATTGCTGATATTATTATTAATGAACACTTTGTAATATGCTTTTTTCTCGTGGTATAGTGCGACATTTACTTGATGTTTTAATTGTTTATAATAATTTTTATGACTGGGCGACTGTGAACATCGATATTTGTTGCGTGCTTCATCGCGTAAACTCATCATTAATTTTATGGTTTTGGTTATCCAGGGCCAAGGGCGATCCTTGAGTATAACTATTTTGATAGGTGAATGCAAGTCAAATAAATTTAGGATATAGCGATTAAATAAGTGTACCATTTCATTGACATTATCGGTACAACTGATCACATCCCATGGGATTATCTGAAGGTCTCGTTCAAAATAATCAAGTAGGATATCATTTAGGGGTCGATATACTAACGTCCGAGGTAGTATTTTGTCTATTTTAAAATGTAATTCGCATGTAAGAAAGGCATGATTATCTAAGTCAGCTATATGATCAATTATGACGTTTTGTGTTGGCGCATCAGTACAGATAACATCAATTAGAGTTTGACTAGTTTCGATAAAATGTGTTGGCTTATCTATTCATTGTTTAATGTTAAAATAATTTATAAATTCCATAAAACGCTTGGTCTTCACATCTTCTGTGTCAATTAAATTAATATTAAAATCTCTCAAAATCAGACCATAATCGTGCGAAAAGTTGCTAAGGCTGTCAGTAATAGCATCAAAAAATAACTCAACGCAACGCTAAGCTCAGTTTCCTTTCAACTCAAAAGGCTGCATCTCTGACGGATCTTTTATTTGGCTCAGTTTCCTTTCAATTCAGAAAACTGCATCTCTGACAAATCAATTTAGCTCAGTTTCTTTTCAAAAGTCTGCATCCCTGACGGATAATTATGCTCAGTTTCCTTTAATTAAAAAAATATCCCATTTTCATTTGGAATAAACAGGTTATTTTATAGATTCTAGCCTTTCTTGGTCTCCTCAAATCAACGCAGTGTCTCGTGAAATGTTTGCAGCTTATAGTTCACTTCGAAGAATGAATTACTTCTTAACCATCTCCACCAAAATTATGCTTACCCAATCTTTACTGCTCCTCATCCTCGATTATGCTGACATAAGCTATCTAGACATTACCGAAGAGCAACTTAACAAATTTGAGCGACTCCAAAATCTAAGTATAAGGTTCATATCTGGACTTCGTAAATATGACCATGTATCAGAATACTGCACTAAGCTCAAGTGGCTTCTAATCCGTCTTCGTAGGGATACTCACATCCTTTCCGCTCTCTACAGCGTTTTATTTAATATATCATGTGCTCCCTACCTTAAAAAACGTTTCCAATTTCTCAGCTCCTCTCATAAACTTTCCCTTCGATCCTTAGAAAACCTTTCCCTTCTATGTCTCTTGCACTCTTATACATTTTACAGTAAATCTTTTTCAGTTCTTGGAGTGAAGCTTCGGAATTCCTTAAACAGTAGACTCCTTTAAAAACCAAGTTAAAAATATTATCTTTTCTTTTAAATCATCCTTCCTCCTTGTATCTATTCCTATCGTTTTATAATCACTAGTCTGTCAATTAAGTAAATTCCGGCATGTTTATTAATTTACTTTTGTATTCATATATTATAATATTATTTATAGTGCTCCCTACCCATTACTTAACTTTTCACTTATTCTTATTTCCTATTTAGATTGTCTGGAAGAAATTGTTGCATAGCAATAAGACCGCTTTTTGTTTCTCTCTTTGTTTGTTTCTTGTTATGTTGTTTTCTTAGTGTTCAATAAAGTATTGAATATTGTATTGTATTGTATTGTATTAAAAATCTTTAGTCGTCGCCAGGAACCTTGCCTTGACCAAAAGTCGTCTTACCCACAAGAAATCGAGGTATGGCTCCGCCCCTGCATATAATTAATATATTTTTTGTAAAACAAACAAACCTTCAAAGGGCACGTCAGTCCGTTATTTTTACAGCCGTCGGGTTGTGGTAGCGGGAACGGCGCTACCATGTTCATGATCACACCGTGTAGTTCTGCTTCTATGACTTTCACGTCCTTTGCTGGAATAGTTAAGTTGTTATCAGTTTAGTAAGTTATTCTAGTAAAATTAACACGCTTTATTTTACGATGTAAAAAATTATAATTAAATTATATTTAAAATAAAAAAGTGATATTTATTCTGTAAATACTAGCTATAGATAAAAGGTAGTATTCTGTAAGAACGTGGTTCTTTCCGATCGAGCCGACTTATTCGTGCTACAACTATAATATAGCAGCATCATGGCTCTTCCATGTAAAACATAATCAATCAATCACGTAAGAGAGAAGAAGAAAAATATCCCTTTAACTAAGTAAACTTAAAATACGTGTTAGGAGTGGTTTATTACAGCAGTCAAATGGCTGATTCTAAGCCACTGCAAGTAAGAATTACTTTTACTATGAAACTGCTGAATCACTACTACATAAGTTGTTACTAACAAGGCGTGAAGTCGAGGCTTAATGTGAAGTTACTGTTTCTTTTGAACACGCATTCTTTGGCTGTCTCTGCACATCCGCTCAACTGCACTTTTTCGAGGGTTGCTAATTTTGAACCTGAAAAAGAAAGTAATATTATGGTTTCTTATATTTACGCGAACACTACACATTGATTAAAACTAGTTTTACGGATTTTATCGCCTTTAATTTATATGGGTTTTAATTCCCCACATTTCGGATGCTTTCCACCACCCATGGTCACAGGGGACTGAGGTGACTGAGGTCCCGATGTCAGTGTTAATCCGGAGTACCGTTAGATTTTTAATTATTATTTATGGTCGGAGAATGAATTCACCTTGTCTTGAAGTCTTGCAGTGGTATGCTTGGGTTCAGTTTTAATTTTATAAATTTTATAAATTCTGAGGTCAAAGGAATGCCATAACTGACGATAGACACTGAAGCCTTTCGCACAGTTGTCAGTTCCCAACTTATAAGTCAGTTTTTTGAGGACTTCGCATACAATCGAGAATACATTTGTTTGGTGACAGCCACCGGTCAGCGCATACCCATCTATGGAGAGAAGGAAATGGAGTTGAAGCTAGGGAACATGATCTACTGCATAATGTCATCGTGACTGATAGAATGGATGACTGCAACCTAGGTGTAGACTTTAGAGAAAGAATTGTTATGAGATAGACGTGAATCAAGGTATTTTGAAATGTGGACAAGAGGAACATTTCGTGGAACGAGCGTTACCAGGGAATGTGTACAACCTCAAGAAAATTGTTCTTTCGCCAAGATCGAAAAGGATTTTGTCGGCTAGTCTTCCTCGGAAACCTAGGCAAGCTCATCGTTGTGTACCCGTGGAAAGGGTAGACAATGACCTTCCATCGAAAGTGGTCAGACCTTGATCAGCACCACTGACATCAAAAGAGTACGTGTGCTGAAACTTTGTGATCAGGAACAGATTATAGAAAAAGGCACACTGGTTGGTACTTGTGAGGAAGTGGATTGATTGCGTCGGTACCAATATCTATGGACTGGGACCCCCGGAATGTATGCAAAAAAGAGAGTGACCACACTTTTAGAAGATTTTCACAGCGTTTCTCTTAATGATTTCTTATATTTACGCGAACACTACACATTGAAATAATACTAGTTTTTACGGAATTTATCGCGTATATTTTAACTTTTTAAATACCCGACGTTTCGAACGCTTTACAGCACTCATGGTCACGGGCAGGACTGAGATGTTCAACGTCCGTATGTCATAGTTAACCGCGGTTACCATAGATTAAAATTTAACTTTTGTTCCGATCTATGCAGTATGAACTTATGGTATCTTGAAGTCTTGCAGTTGTATGCTTTGGTTGGGATTTAATTTTATTTATTATAGGATCCCAAGCAGATGGTAGCACCCAGCCATCTTCTCTATTGAAATTAGGATGTTTTTTGAATTCAATAGCCTCGCGAATCATCCTTGGAAGGAATCGGTGTTCTTTAGCGAGGATCTGCGGTCTATCAAATCTGATGTAGTGACGGGGGCGATCCTGTACGTGTTCACAGACTGCAGCCTTCCCGGAGCGTCGATTCTTCACATCAGCTATATGTTCTTTAATGCGGGTTTTTATTGATCTTTTAGTTTGTCCTATGTAGGAGAGACCACATTCACAATCAAGCTTGTACACTCCTGCATCTTGCAGAGGGACTTTACACTTGACCGATGGTAAAAACTGACCAATCTTCTTCAGCGGCTTGACGTATGCGGCGGTATGTTTTGATGGAAGCGCGCTTCAAGATGTAGCCAATCTTGTCAGTAACTCCTCTAACATATGGCAGTACAGCAGGTACACGCTCGACTGTGGCCGGCTTCACTCGTTCTCTGTGACGTAGGCGCGGGACTCGAAGCTTGTTGTCATGCAAAACTTGCTTGACATGGTGGAGCTCTGCAGCCAGGTGTTTACTGTCACAGATCCCTCGTGCTCTCTGAAACAAAGATTTACCCACGGTAGCTAACTGTGAAGGATGGTGGTGAGAATCACCGTTTAAATATCTATCTGTATGGGTCTTTTTTCTATACACAGTATGGCTCAAGGTGTTATCAGGATTCCGAATTACTAACACATCTAGAAAAGCTAAGGAATTGTTTGCCTCTAACTCCATTGTGAACTGAATTTTAGAATTTATAGAGTTAAGATGGTCTAAAAATGCAGTTACTTTATCTAAAGGTAGAAGTGTGAAAGTGTCGTCTACGTACCGCTTGTAGAACCTTGGATTTATGGGAGAGCTAAGCAGGGCTTTCTCCTCAAAGTCTTCCATAAATATGTCGGCGACAATGGGAGATACAGGTGAGCCCATCGCCACACCATCTACTTGCTTGTAGAACTCCTCCTTCCACAATAGGTAGCCAGATGTAAGGCAGTGTCTGAGTAATACTGCATATTCTACGGGCATGTTGTTTTCTTCCAGCCTTCTAGTTACAATTGAGATGCAGTCTTCAACAGGTAAGCATGTAAACAATGACTGCACATCAAAACTGACCATAGTTTCATTGTCTGCCAGATGTAGGTCTTTAATCTCGCTGACAAAATGGTAGGAATCCTTTATGTGTGCTCTTGTATGTCCCCTGAGTGGTTAGAGTATTTTCGCTAAGTGTTGAGCCAATCTGTAAGTTGGTGAATCGATTTGGCTCACTATGGGACGTAATGGAGCATTGGGCTTGTGTATTTTTGGTAACCCATACAATTTTGGTGATTTGGCGCACGTAGGTATTATCCATTTTACGTCTAGATTTAATTTTTCGGAGTGTTTCTTTATGAGGTCACTAGTTGTTTTTAGTGTGCTATTTGTTGGGTCGTTTTTAACCTTTTTATAAGTACTTACATCCGACAAAAGTTCTTGTATTTTAGAATTATAATCTGACGTATCCATGACTACCGTGGCGTTTCCCTTATCTGCGCGGAGAATCGTAAGTTCGTGTTTATTGCGTAGGTTCTTTAACGCTATAAATTCGTCTTTGGGAAGATTCGGTTTAGGCACTGAACATCGACGTAACATAGACGAGATGTCTTGACGTATCGCCTCCAAATCTTCTTTCCGCATATTGTTTTTAAATAAACAGTCCTCGACACTACAGATAATTTCTTCGTACGGTAATTTGCGGGGTGTAATTGCAAAGTTGAGGCCTTTGGATAAAACCCTAATTGTTGCATCATCCAGTGTTTGTTTTGACAGATTATAGAGCGCGATTAATCTATGATCTGTGTTTGTCAATGGTTGCTTTCGGTTCTGGCATTGATTCAGATGTTTGACATTTGACTTGTTCGTTAATTTTTGATATTTTTCTATATGTTTGTTTTTGCATTCATTATATTTATTAATTTCGCGTTTATTTAATGTTTCCATGCAAAAATTATAGTCAAACGTCGTTAAAACTTTCTTCAATTCACTGGATGATGTGTCTATGGATTTGTTTATGTCATATAGATCGGAGCGTTTTTGTTGGATTACCGTTCGTAACAACTTTTTACTCGCCTGATTTAAGATCTTAGCGCTTCCTCGAATGTCCTTTTTGGTTGATATTTTAACACACGTAGGAATGAGATTATGGTCACGGCATCTCTTCAAGAAATTTAAGGCTGTTAGATATCTTGCGCGCTTGGTCTTTAGATCTTCTAATCGGCGTATTTTATTTGCAATTACCAGTCCGTACTGGTTTACATAATGATTTCTTATATTTACGCGAACACTACACATTGAAATAATACTAGTTTTTACGGAATTTATCGCGTATATTTTAACTTTTTAAATACCCGACGTTTCGAACGCTTTACAGCACTCATGGTCACGGGCAGGACTGAGATGTTCAACGTCCATATGTCATAGTTAACCGCGGTTACCATAGATTAAAATTTAACTTTTGTTCCGATCTATGCAGTATGAACTTATGGTATCTTGAAGTCTTCGCGCAGATAAGGGAAACGCCACGGTAGTCATGGATACGTCAGATTATAATTCTAAAATACAAGAACTTTTGTCGGATGTAAGTACTTATAAAAAAGGTTAAAAACGACCCAACAAATAGCACACTAAAAACAACTAGTGACCTCATAAAGAAACACTCCGAAAAATTAAATCTAGACGTAAAATGGATAATATCTACGTGCGCCAAATCACCAAAATTGTATGGGTTACCAAAAATACCCCCAATGCTCCATTACGTCCCATAGTGAGCCAAATCGATTCAGCAACTTATAGATTGGCTCAACACTTAGCGAAAATACTCTAACCACTCAGGGGACATACAAGAGCACACATAAAGGATTCCTACCATTTTGTCAGCGAGATTAAAGACCTACATCTGGCAGACAATGAAACTATGGTCAGTTTTGATGTGCAGTCATTGTTTACATGCTTACCTGTTGAAGACTGCATCTCAATTGTAACTAGAAGGCTGGAAGAAAACAACATGCCCGTAGAATATGCAGTATTACTCAGACACTGCCTTACATCTGGCTACCTATTGTGGAAGGAGGAGTTCTACAAGCAAGTAGATGGTGTGGCGATGGGCTCACCTGTATCTCCCATTGTCGCCGACATATTTATGGAAGACTTTGAGGAGAAAGCCCTGCTTAGCTCTCCCATAAATCCAAGGTTCTACAAGCGGTACGTAGACGACACTTTCACACTTCTACCTTTAGATAAAGTAAACCTACCTAACTCTATAAATTCTAAAATTCAGTTCACAATGGAGTTAGAGGCAAACAATTCCTTAGCTTTTCTAGATGTGTTAGTAATTCGGAATCCTGATAACACCTTGAGCCATACTGTGTATAGAAAAAAAGACCCATACAGATAGATATTTAAACGGTGATTCTCACCACCATACTTCACAGTTAGCTACCGTGGGTAAATCTTTGTTTCAGAGAGCACGAGGGATCTGTGACAGTAAACACCTGGCTGCAGAGCTCCACCATGTCAAGCAAGTTTTGCATGACAACAAGCTTCGAGTCCCGCGCCTACGTCACAGAGAACGAGTGAAGCCGGCCACAGTCGAGCGTGTACCTGCTGTACTGCCATATGTTAGAGGAGTTACTGACAAGATTGGCTACATCTTG